AGTTACAAAGTTGTTTATGATAGGGTTTTAGTCATATAATGTTCCACTTGTCTCTTCACTGGTGTTTTTTATTATAATTATTTTTTAATTTTATTGAATCACCATGAGATAGTTACAGGCTTTCATGTTTGGGTTACAATCACACAATGATCAAACACATATCCCTTCACCAGTGCACATTCCCCACCACCAATATCCCTGGTATACCCCCCTTTCCCACCTTCCCACAGCTTCCATGGCAGACAATATTCCCCATATTCTCACTCCTCTATTGGGCATTATGGTTTGCAATACAGATACTGAGAGGTTATCATGTTTGGTCAGTTATCTACTTTCTGCACACATCTCCCATCCCAACCAATTCACCCTTCTCTATTCCAGCTGCCTTCTCCTCTCCACTCATGCAGCAGGCTTCCAGCTATGGAGTAATCTTCCTGTTCCTTGTATCTACTTCCTTGTGTGTCAGCCTCATATTATGTTATTTTATACTCCACAAATGAGTGCAGTCCTATGTCTGTCCCTCTCTTTCTGATTCATTTCACTTAGCATGATACTCTCCATGTCTATCCATTTGTAAGCAAATTTCATGACTTCATATCTCCTAAAGCTGCATAGTATTACATTGTGTAGATGTACCAACGTTTCTTTAACCAGTCATCTGTTCTCAGGCATTTGGGTTGTTTCCAGGTTTTGTCTATTGTGAACAGTGATGCAATGAACGTATAGGTACAGATGTCTTTTCTACTGTGATTTTTTGCATCTGCAGGGTATATTCCCAGAAATAATGTTGCAGGATCATAAGGAAGCTCAATTTCTAGTTTTTGAAGGACTGTCCATATTGTTTTCCAAAAAGGCTGGACCAGTCGGCATTCCTACCAACTCACTAGTGTATGTTTCCCACAAACAGTGTCCCCAGTTTCCTTCCCATTCTTTCCCCACTTTTATGTAAGGCACTTTTCTTCTCTCTACTTTTTAAATTTTAATTAAATAATTGTGATTTATGAAGTTATTGATAGCTTAGTTTTAGGTATATAGTATTTCAACACCAATCCTACCACCAGTGTCAGCTCCGTCCACTAATGTTTCCATATTCCCTCCCAACCCCAATCTTCACCCCATTCCTCACCTGCCAACTTAAAAGGAACAGTGCTCTATTTCTGTAAGTAACCCAAAACTTGAATTGAGCATGGGTCTATCCATTCATTTAGCACCCATGTATATATCTTTTTAATTCAATTTTTATATGTTTGAATTATTTTCTGTAGATTAGACTCTATGCAAGATCACTACAAGGATATTAATACTTCAATTTAGTGACTTGATAACCAGAACCTTTATTATTCTTTCCATGATATTACAACTTGGGTATAAAATTTGAGCAAGTCTGAATTGTATTTATAGCCTCTAGTTTATAATCTCAAAGCACCCACCACTTTGATTTTCCTCACATACCACAACTTTGTCCTAGCAAATGTAATTTTGACAACCCAGTCATTTTCACCAAGAGCTGCAACAATCCTAAGAGGGATAAAAAATGGCCCGTTGATCGTCGATTTGCTCGAGCGGGCCCAGTAACGTCTCCATTGGAGACTTTGTTGTTACTGTGTCTGGCATATCCAATACTCTCGGTAGCTTGCTGGGCTCTCCGAGAGGGGCGGAGGAATCGAACTCAGGTCGGCCATGTTGGCTGCTTGTAAGGCGAACGCCCTACCCGCTGTGCTATCGCTCCCGCCCTAAAAGCAAGCAGCTGATTTGGAGATGCCGGGGATAAAGTACACATTTCAGTAACCACATTTTTTCACAGAGGTACAAAGAGGGCAACTGTCATGCCCAACGACTAAAGCTTGGATTAAAAACCAATTTCTAATCCCTTGCTCATTATCCTCTTCCTGCTCTTACTTAGGAATATGGATTAGAGCAGTTAAAATACATAAAAGCACATGATTTAGTTTTCCTTTGCAAGAGTAGCCTGTTTGAGTTACATTAGTATTCTTTCAGCAGTCACATAGAAGGTAGGAATATTGCTGTTGTCCATGACCATAGGGAATAATCAGGCTCAGCTATTTTCCAGCTCTAAACCAGTCAAAGTAATTTGGTTTAATTTTAATTTTTTAATGGTTTGTGATTAATAGAAGCAGCTGCTGTCACAGTATGTGGGTGTCCTCCAGAAGGCACAGACCAAAAAAAACCAAAATAATAATAATAATAATAAAAGTCTACGTATAATATAAACCCTGAAAAATAAACAATAGTGTGTAGGACAAAAAGGTTAAATCAAGAATTGAGCAGTGTCTTTTTATTATCGAAAATTCAGCTGACAATATGTAGCACTGTCTCTCTTCCTCCCACTGCTGGTACCCATTAGCCTCTGACAAAATTGTAATCTGATTACACAGGGTGTGAAAATGTATTGTCTGATTCTAAGAACTCTCTCCCTTTCTCTCCCCCTCCCTGTGACTCACTAAGAGATTAGCTGTGACAAAGTGCAGAGAAAGAGAAAGAGAAAGATAAAAATAGGTGACAGGAGAGGTATTATAATTATTTTGAAGGAAAAGAGGATTGGAATTAGGAATAGGTCCTGTTTGCCTATGGAGGTTGGATGTATAATATGGATCCCTTAGTATAATGCTTGGCACCTGACTATACCAGACACCAAAGAAGAAAAGGAAGAGACTGAGTGGCTCAAACCAGGTGATAATCTGAATTGTTTCAGTTAATCATAGACTACACAGGTCATGTGCTTTGTTGGTTGTTGAATTGGAGATTGGTCTGCCCTCATGAAGGGAGTAGGGATGGAATCTTAGCTCAATTAAAAATGCATTTAGGAAATGAGATGCTGTTTTGATTTTTTTGCCCCTGGCATGATAAAGTAAGGGGACCAAGAGACTATTTCTGTAATTGCACTTGTTGGATGAATTTCAGTTATCATAGCCTCAGTATGAAAGGACACTTACATGTTAATTAGTCAAATAATAGTGTATATCAAACAGCACATTACTGGCATTCAGAAAATGCTTAAAATAATGTTATTCTCTTTGGAGGTACCGAGTGACTTTGTTTTCTATTTATCTCTTTTATGATTTATAAGCTGAAAATATTGATTGATATTTTTATTTCTGATAATTTGAGTCAAAAAGTTTTTCCTGCTGTCAAAGGAGACCCTGGAGTGGGATCTTCTCTATTTACATCCATATTTTATGCTTAATTAGAAAATTAAAATAGAACTTCTTACTTTAAAATCTTGTGAAGAAGTCTGGGAGATGTTTTAGGGAATTTATATTCTGAACTTGTCTCTAGAGCAGTTAGATTTGTGTCTCTCCTCCAAAATCCACTATATCTACACTTTTTTTTTCTGTGCTCTGATATTATCTACAACTATGCATTAAGAAATGTTTCTGAAAGTCATGGTCACCATCGCGGTCACGGTCCTCCCATTATTCATCAATTTGCTCGAGCGGGCCCAGTAACATCTCCATTGTGACACTTGTTACTGTGTTTGGCATATCGAATACGTCACGGGTAGCTTGCCAGGCTTTGCCGTGGGGGCGAGATACTCTCAGTAGCATGCTGGGCTCTCCGAGAGGGGCGGAGGAATCGAACTCAGGTCAGCCATGTTGACAGCATGCAAGGCAAACGCCCTAAATGTTGTGCTATGGCTCCAGCCCAAAATAGAGACTATGATATTATATATATATTTATATTTGTATGTATATGATTGGAAATGTGTTAAATGTGTACTATTATATATATTTGTGTTTAGTGCTCACTCAGGTGGGCACACATGATGAATCTGAGAATCTGAGTTACAAATCTTCATCACACATACAAATATCATTTTCAGGCATCAGAATACATCTAAAATGATTGATTGTTCCAAGAGCTGGATAAAAGTTTCTTGAGTCCTAGGAGCGTATAATCCAGCTATTGGGATCGTCTCTTCATCTCTGAAAGGATCAAATGATGCACTATTCCCTTTATAGAGTCTTCTAAGGAATCAAAGGCCACCTGTATCTCTTAAGAATCATTATTTTATAAAAATTTAATTAAATTTGAGAAATAAAAGGAAAAGCATTTTTATCCTTCATTGTTATCTTGCCAGTAAGTAACTTCAAAAGAGTACTGTGAAGATTAAAGGAGTTTCTATAAGTGCTTAGAATGGCTTAGCACAGTTTATATTTATATGTATATAATTGGTATAATGATAATAGGTATCATCATTATCATAATCATCATCATCATCATCATCATCGCCACCACTGGTATTATATAATATCCATTGATATATCAGTTTTCTGTGTTTAATAGCAACATAAGACTGCCTTGACTAATCTAACATCAGGTACAAGAACTCTAGGAAATCCCTTAAAGTTTTCTGTGCCTGTACTCCCTGAAACATAGACCTTTTGATTTTCTTTCAATTGAATAATACAAAGGCTGAAATCCAACCCTTTATAATTCCTACCATTTTTCTTCAGAATGAGTCTTCTAATTTTATTATTGTGTTGTTTGTTCTTTATTTTGAGTAATTAGGCTCTGCTCTGTATCCAAGGGTCATGCCTGGAAGTGTATCAAACTCAGTTCTGCAGCATACAAAGTGCCTACTCAGACTGTTGAGCCATCTCTCTGGCCCTATCATTGCTTTTTTTTTAATAAGTTAGTACTGTTACTGTTAGTTGTTGGTTTTTTGTTTTGTTTTTGTTTTTAGCAATATACCCTGGCAAGCTACTGAGAGTATCCTGCCTGCACAGCAGAGCTTGGCAAGCTCCCCGTGGCGTGTTTGATATGCCAAAAACAGTAACAAGAAGTATCACAATGGAGATGCTACTGGTGTCCGCTGGAGCAAATTGATGAACAAAGGGAGCACATTGCTACAGTGCTACCTAGTAGTAATAAGGAGAGGGGAAAGGCAACACTATTCCTGTCTTTGATGTTAATTTTTTCCTTAAGATAAAATTTTTGTTTTTCTAATATGACTGGATTTCTTTGTTTATATCTTTCAGGCAAAGACTGCCTCCTAAAAATGTTTACTACTACCGCTGTCCAGATCATAGAAAGAATTATGTGATGTCCTTTGCGTTTTGTTTTGACCGGGAAGAAGATATTTACCAATTTGCATACTGTTACCCCTATACATACACTCGCTTCCAGCATTACCTTGACAGCCTGCAAAAGAGAAACATGGATTATTTCTTTCGGGAGCAGCTTGGTCAGAGCGTGGTAAGTCCTATTTAAAAAGAGGTAGTCTTGGGCGAGGAGTTTATAAGTGGGTTTTTATGCGACGCAAATAATGGATATTGGCGCCAGGTGGACTATATGCTCAAGATGAAATATCCTGCCTCCCTCGAACTTTTAAGAACACCTGTGATTATGTTGGGCTTATCCAAACAATCTAGGACGATTGTCCTAGATAATAATAACTCATCTCAAGGAAGTTAATCATATCTGTAAAATTGTGTTCTCACATAAGGTCACATTTACAGATTCCAGGGATAGGGACTTGTATATTTGGGGAGTGTGACACAGGTGCCTGACACTTCTCTCTTCTCTCCTTTCCTTTTTTCCCCACAACCGAATCCATGGCTTGAAGTTGTTCTTCACAGTGGCTATATAGGTCTTAGTAGGTATGTTCACTAATAGTTTGGTTGCTGATAAAGAAAGAGTAGACATATGTTAATTCTGATTTTACGTTTCATTATTCAAGAATGGTAGGTTGAGGAGCTGAAGATATAGTACACGGTGAGGGCATTTGCCTTGCATGTGACAGACCTGGTTTCAATCCCTGGCACCCCACACAGTGCCCAAGCCCCACCAAGAGTAATCCCTGAACACCAATGTGTGTGTCCCTAAAACTAAAAAAAGAAAAAAAAGAAAAATAATAATTTTAGACTATGGCACTAAAAGAGAAACTTTACACAGTCAATATACCAAGCCAAGTTACTGGTGGAATTTAGACTTGGAGTTGTGGTGTGTAGATTCCAGAAGAACTGAGACCCATTTATAAATAAAATCTTCAAGACTATATTTTTTAGAAATTATAGAATCTTACCAGAACCCTCCACCAAAAAAAAGAAAGCATATAAGGTTCAGGTATTAAATAATTAGAGATTCTATGAGCACCAAGATTTTGATAAACAACTTCCCTCTATTCTCATCCTGTTTCTAACAGTAGTTCTATTAAATTATATACATACATCTATATATATGGCCTATGTATTTTGAGATGAAAATTGGCACACGTGCCCTATCAGTCAGCATGCTTGTAGGAAACAGATGGCAGCCCCACATTGGGGTAATTTGTGGAAGATTTAATAAATGGACTATTTACAAGGTGTGGGCTTTATTCAGGGAAACTACAGGGTATAGAACAGTTGCCTGGAGCTAGGAGCAGATTTGGGTGTGAAGATAAAGAATGGTTTCCAGAATCCAGTACCCAAGAGTTATGTAATAAGACACCTCAAATGGAACAGTGTCCTTCAGTTAGGGAAACTGGGTAACCCCAGAGTGGGGGAGCTGAGAAAAATAAGTTCATAGACCTCATTCTCTTATTTCCTCTGGTCATCTATTCATATCCCTACTGGCCAGCCCAACCAAAAATTAGAGGGCAACAGAGTTTATGTAATCCATATGGATGTGGTTCATATAGATAAGCCAGCCTAGGCCTGGGTGAAGGGTGAAGAAGGGGAGAGATTGCATGTAGAGAGGCATATAGAACATATTAAGTATACGTGGTTTCATCAGCAATCTATTATTGGAGCACATGTCCATCCTGAGTTCACTTACATACTAATATGGGATGTGTAATTTCTTCCTTATGCTTTATGGGGCACCCTCATTGACTGCCCTCTAGAGAAATCCATGTTCTCTCTTGAATGAGTTGCCTTTGATATCTCCCCCTCCCTCTCTCTGTCTCTCTCTCTCCTCATGTTCCTAAATAAAGCCATTTTACTTCACAATAAACAAACAATATATTACTAAAAATAGTAAGCTTATTTTAGATAGAGCTATCAGAAATATTCTGAGATAATGAATTTTCAGCATGAATTGTGACACAAGTTAAAGTGAGAATTCCATTCAGTAATTGACTTATTTTTTTTATTAGTGAAATACTATGAGGTACAGTTGTAGATTTACAAGCTGTTGTGCTTGGGTTTCAGTTATACAATGATCGAGTACCCATCCCACCACCAGTGCCCATCTCCACCCCCACCAATCCCAGTATCCCTCCCAACCCCCATCCCCATGCCACCCTGCCTCTGTGGCAGGGCACTTCCTTTTGTTCTATTCTCCTTTTGGGTGCTGTGGTCTGCAGAAGATACATTGGGTGGCAATCATGTTCTGTCTATAGACTACTTTCAGCATGCATCTCCCATCCTGGGCGGATCTTCCCACCACCCTTTATTTGGTTCTCCCTTCTCTATCTGAGATGCCTTTGCCCCTACAGTGTGCGGCTGGCTTCTAAGGCATGGAGTGAACAACCTGGTATTTATCACAGTTGCTCTTGGGTGTTACTGGGCCCGCTCGAGCAAATCGACGATCAACGGGAGGGCTCTTGGGTGTTGAATTTGTACAGTGCTTTGGGAAATATGGCCATTTTGACAATATTAAGTCTCCCGATCCATGAACAGGGGATACTTTTCCATTTCCTAATGTTCTCTTTTATTTCAAGAAGCAGCGTTTTATAGTTTTCTTTGTACAGGTCCTTTATTTCCTTAGTTAAACTAATACCTAGGTAGTTGATTTTCTGCTGTACAATTGTGAACGGGATTGTTTTCTTCATGTGCTTTTGTTCTCTCTCACTATTTGCATATAGGAAAGCCATGGAATTTTGGGTATTGATTTTATAGCCTGCAACTTTACTATACAAATCTATCATTTCTAGGAGTTTCTTCGTAGAGGTTTTAGGGTGCTCTAAGAATAGTATCATATCATCTGCAAATAGTGAGAGCTTGATTTCTACCTTTCCTATTTGGATGCCCGCAATCTCTTTTTCTTGCCTAATCGCTATTGCTAGTATTTCCAGTACGATGTTGAACAGTAGTGGAGACAGTGGATATCCTTGTCTCGTCCCTGATCTTAGGGGGAAGGCTCTCAGTTTTTCACCATTGAGCTTGATGCTTGCTGTAGGCGTGTGGTAGATGGCTTTAACTATATTGAGGAAAATCCCCTCTACCCCATTTTGGCGAGGGTTTTCATCATAAACAGGTGCTGGATCTTGTCAAATGCTTTCTCTGAATCTATTGATATGATCATGTGATTTTTATCTTTTCTTTTGTTGATATGATGGATTATGTTGATTGATTTCCAAATGTTAAACCATCCTTGCATCCCCGGGATGAATCCCACTTGGTCATGGTGTAGGATCTTTTCGATGAGTTGTTGAATTCTATTTGCTAGTATTTTGTTCAGAATCTTTGCATCCGTGTTCATCAGGGATATCAGACTGTAATTTTCTTTTTTTGTGGTATCTTTGTTTTTGTTTGCTATTAGAGAGATATGGGCTTCGTAGAAAGTGTTTGAAAGTGTTTCTGTTTTTACAATTTCCTGGAAAAGCTTGAGAAGGACTAGCAGTAGGTCCTCTTTAAATGTTTGGAAAAATTCGCTAGTGAATCCCTCTGGACCTGGGCTTTTGTTTTTGGGAAAACTTTTGATTACAGTTTCAATTTCCTTGATGTTAATAGATCTATTCAGGTATTCTATATTTTCTTGACTCAGCTTTGGGAGATTATAGGAATCCAGAAATTTATCCATTTCTTCTAGGTTCTCTTGTTTCGTGGCATACAGACTTTCAAAGTAGTCTCTGATGATCTTTTGAATTTCTTTGGTTTCCATTGTGATATCTCCATGCTTATTTCTGATTTGGTTTATTAGGGTTCTCTCTCTCTGTTTCTTTGTGAGTGTTGCTAGTGGTTTATCTATCTTGTTTATTTTCTTGAAGAACCAGCTCTTGGTTTCATTGATCTTTCAGATTGTTTCTTTGGTTTCCACGTCATTGATTTCTGCTCTAAGTTTTATAATCTCTTTCCTTCTGCCCAATTTGGGCTCTTTCTGTTGATCCTTTTCTAACATCTTGAGCTGTGAAGTCAAGTTGCTTATGTGCAACCTTTCTTCCATCCTGAGATATGCTTGCAGGGCTATAAATTATCCCCCTTAATACGGCTTTAGCTGCTTCCCATAAATTCTGGTAGTTTGTGTCTTCATTCTCATTTGTTTCCAGGTACCTTTTGATATCGTCCTTGACTTCCTTCCTGACCCACTCGTTGTTCAGCAGTGAGTTGTTTAGTTTCCAGGTGTTTGGTTTGGTTCTCTGTGTCTTTGTGTGATTCACTTCTATCCTCAGTGCATCGTGGTCTGAAAAGTTTGTTGATACTATTTCTATCTTCCTGATTCTATTGAGATATGTTTTGTGGCTTAGCACATGGTCTCTTTTGGAAAATGTTCCTTGCGCACAGGAGAAGAATGTGTATTCTTTCTTTTTGGGATGTAAAGACCTGTATAGGTCTATAAGTCCTTTCTCTTCTATTTCTTCATTCAAAGCCAATGTTTCCTTGCTGAGTTTTGTTCTTCTTGATCTATTCAGAGGTGATAAGGCAATGTTGAAGTCTCCAACTACTATTGTGTTGCTAGCAATGTCCTTCTTAAAATCTGTTAGCAGTTGTTTTAAGTATCTAGCTGTTCCTTCATTAGGTGCGTATACATTTAAGAGTGTGATTTCTTCCTGTTGTATGTTTCCCTTGATGAAGAGAAAATGGCCTTCACTGTCCCTTCTAATCTTTTTCAGCCTGAAATTAATGTTGTCGGATACTAGTATGGCCACCTCAGCTTTTTTGAGGGAGCTGTTTGCTTGCAGTATTGTTTTCCATCCTTTAACTTTGAGTCTGTGTTTGCTCTGATTGTTCAGATGAGTTTCTTGTAGACAGCAGAATTTTGGTTTCAGTTTCTGGATCCATTTTGCCACTCTGTGTCTCTTGGTAGGTGCATTTAGACCATTGACATTAAGTGAGATTATTGTCATGGGGTTTTGTGCCATCTTTCTGTAGGAATTGGTTGTGTTTATACGTGTTTTCCTTCTTATCTTACAGGAGCCCCTTTAGTCCTTCTTTTAGATTTGGTTTTGAGTCTATGAAGTTCCTGAGCTGGTGTTTATCTACAAAGTGGTGTATCGTTCCATCGAATTTGAGTGAGAGTTTAGTTGGATAGAGTATTCTTGGTGAGGCATT